CTGGTAACGTAGTGCAACGTGGACCGATAACCGATTGTATCCTGGGAATCGAACACCGATCAAAAACCTCGTGCACCCCGGTGAGGCGGCGAATTCGATTTAAGGAAACCGTGTAAACACGGGCCTTCGGTTTGATTGATTCACCTTTATTTTTCCCTACATATGTTAACTAATTTCAACAACAGTGAACAGCCAAAATTACTATGTTACTATCACATCACCAACTTACTCTACTGCTCAAGAATTTTAGTATATTACACTTCAATCAGGAATGCAATGGGATATTCATCCATTATGTATGAACCAGCAAAGTAAAAAAAAAAAAATTCAAAACGAATTCGAAAGAACATTACAAAAAAATTTAGCACCTGTAACTGTCGAAAGCAGAGGTGGAGGGCTAGACATCAGCAACAGCAGTAAAATCCTTACACATTGGGGAGCATAGTGAAAATTACAAAAATAAAAATAAAAAATTGAAGGAAGAGGCATGAGTTTCTACTATGATTTGACGAGCACTTGATGCTACTACAATCGTGCAATGGCTGTAGTAATTGATGATCTTCAATTCAATTTAGAGTCATCTTCAAGGGAACGATGACAATAATTCAATCATATACCGATGATCAAGTAATTATACGAAATAAAGAGTAGAATAGAAATTAATAAATTAAGTCACGATTGCACCAAGTACTAAAATCAGATAAAGAACAATGATGCAGATGAGGATTAATGTAGGACTTATGTAGAAAGCTGATTTCCAACCTCCAGAGTCCAGAGCCTAATTGGGTGATCGGGCGACCTTTGAAGTCGACAGAGCCATGACTTCGTTAGGTCCATTATTTCACTTAAATTGTCACATTTTATTTCATTATTTCAGTTAATTTACCACATCACCAATATTTCATCATTCTGATAAATAAAGTAAGTAGGAAACAATCTTATTTTCAAATTAGTGCAAATTAGAAATATAAAGATTCTTAATGTTTTTTAAAATCTTGCTATATTTTTTTGTGATCTAATTATAAATAAAGAATCCTTTTTTCCATAAAAAAAAAAGATAAAGATTCTTTTATGGAAAATGTATTAATGTAATTAATTTAAAAAATTATTTCATTTTAGTATTATAAATGTATTAAATAGATACTCTAATAAGTACCAAAAAAAAATTATCAATAAATTTGGTAAATGTGAAACTTGATTGCAATTCAAACGACTCGACCAAAACTTTTCTCATGTCTTACATTGATTATTTTTCAGACGCCAAATGTTGAGATTGCGGGTTATACAAATAAAAAGTTTAGAAATAATTTGCAAAAGAAAAAAAGGGGACTATACTTGTAATTATTTCTTTTTAATTTTGGCCATTTTTACTTTTTTTTTTTAATGTCTAAATTAACGAAATAATCGTACTTCAAAGGTCATATGAGAGGATTTTCGGCCAATTTGAAATGGTACGGTATATTGACAATAAATTCATGCGTTGGGAGTGTAGCCTTCATAAATATAGAGATGAGACTGGAACGTGAAAACACGCGACATGCACTATCCAACTTATTCACGCGCCTAAAAATTCCACACAATAAAAAATAGAAGAGAAATCTGATTCAGTTCAAGCATTTGGAACCCTAATACACAAAAAGTACATATATCACTATGAGATCGAAAAGTGTAGGCTATAAATTTTCAATTGCATATATTTATAGTTATTATATATAGTCACGGACGCACAAAAAATCGAATAAAAGTGAAAAGGTTTGTGCTTTGAATTGGGCGCTAATCAGATCTGATTTTCAAAGGTAAATAGCACTAATGACATACATTATATGTTTGTGTGATTTTATTTTGTTTATTAATTCCATTTTAATTTGTGAATTTCTAGGTTTTTTGTGGGAGTGGGCGGTGGGCATGGGGGTTTGTTGTGGTGCATTAATTTTTTTGAATTTTGATGGAATAAAAATTGAAATCCGATTGGGTTACGATACACAGAGCATGCGGGTTTTCGGGGATTTTCATGTAATTTCTGGTAGATGTGCAGGGAGGCTGCAATTTATTTTTATAATTATTATTTTTTATCTACTACATATTGCCCGTGGATTTGTTGAAATAATTTTGGTTGTATGGAAATTTAGTGTCTGAGGAAAGAAAAAATTTAGAACTTTAAACTTTGCTTGTTTAATTTTGTGATTTGTACACTTCCACTCTCAAAATATTCACAAGAACTTCCGACAGTTTCTGATGGGGGACCCTTGTGTTGCTGTAAAAGAACAATCAGATGAAGGGTGCAGAAACTTGTAGTTACCATTTCATTTTTTGAACTAAAATTTTATTCAGATTTGGCCAAAAGCAACAAATCAGCTACAAAAGTTGGGGACTCCCCAAACTGCAACTCTTTCGTAAAAAGAGAGGAAAAATTTATATCAGCGAAGATTTGCTTTTATTTAATCTGGTCTAGATTTTTGTTCCACGTGCAAATGGTGGGCTTTATTTTTAGTTGATCTCCTAAAGGTTAATATTTAATAGCTGACTTGTTGGTATCTGTTATACCTGCCTGTTTGTATTATGTATGCATGAAGTGAAACCTGTTCTCACCTTTTCCATTAAAAGCTGATTATTGATGTAACTTATCGTCAATGAATTAATTCGTGGATAAATTAGATTAGAAGCATGATGGTGAAAGGTAGAGCTTCATGAGTCACTTGTGCTTAATTTCATTGCATTAGTGATGGGTTCCCTCTTCTACCCGCCTCAGGAAATAAATACCCCTCTTAGCACTTTTCAATAATTTGTGTTGTTTTTTAAAACATCTAATACTCTGGATCTACAAATGGATGTCTAGTTCTATTCCTTTTGGCTGCTTATAGATGGTGCTAAGAGTGATTGTTGCGAATATATTTTATATTTTTATGACTAATTCTATGTACATTCACGTTAGTCGTCACTTAAAATCATTTGTAGGATTTCAGATCAGCAACATCCTGACAAGTTCTTCTTCTGAGCAGTTGCATTTTGGGCATAACATATTGAAGAATGGCCGATGAAATATCAAGCTTTTGGGGTCCCGTGTCATCAACACATGAGTGGTGTGAGCCAAATTATGTCTACTCTTCCTATATTGCCGAATTTTTCAACACAATCTCGAATGTCCCAAGCATTATTTTAGCACTCCTTGGTCTTGTGGTTTCGTTGAGCCAACGTTTTGAGAAAAGATTTAGCGTCCTTCACATATCTAATATGATACTTGCTATCGGCAGCATGCTATATCACTCAACGTTGCAGCAGCTGTAAGTTTAATTTATGTTCTCATCTATCTGTTTTGCTTGTTGAGTTTGCAATGTAAGGTTGTAAGTGGTATAAAGGCCTGATGGAGCTTTTATGGTCATTTACAACATAAATTTTGCTAAAAAATTTGCACAGTGGTGATGGCATATCATTTTGTGTATCGGGAATTCGCAGAGGAAGTAGAACACACCAAGTCTAGAAATCTATAGTGATGTTCAAAGAAACAACTTCAATAACTCTTTAAACAATTGCCATGTATATTTAGAAACAGAAGGAAAGCCAACAGCGGATTATTGCGAAAGTTCGTAAAATCTCATTTTTGCTTTATTTATAAGTTAAGTTGATATCTTAGAATAAAATCTAATTATGTGTAGATACATCTTGTTTGAATCAAATGATAGTGTCATACATGAAATTACTTTACTATTCAGTCTCTTTGGGTTTTTCCTTTTTATTTACTTGTAATGATGGCTCATGGATGTGGAACTTCTTCAAAGTTGTAATGGGTCTTGTTCTGAGGTTTATAAGAGGACATCCATTACATGAAAACTAAGTTGATTTTTATTTTATTTTTGGATTTTTGATTTAATGTACATATCATTTACGTTTTCTTCTCTCGTCATCACCAAATTAAGATTAGAGTCAAAACCCTTTATTTATATGTATCCTTGGTTTTGATGTGTCTACAATATCTTCTTCAGTAAATGAGTTGAGTTAGTTTAAGACCCTAATCACAGACTTCATTTAATACTAAATGTTACATAATAATCACTATTTACAATATGTTACGGCAGCAATATATTACCTCTCCAAAGTTGGTTTATGAAACTCTTACCTGCTTTAAGCATCGGATCAATATTTTCATTTGGATATTATTTTCTGACAAAATTTATTAGTTGTCCAAGAGCGTCATTTACTAGTTGGACTTTTGGCCGCTTTTACAATGGCACTCTTTCTTTTCTTTTTTTTTTTATGTGCGGCGTGTGATGGATTGCGATAATTTTAGGAATTGATCCCTTAAGATTTTGATCACAACTGTTTCTAAGTGCTGCTTAATATTCTGAAGTCAGCTCCATCCTAATAGATTGATGATTTACATCGCATATTTGGCGTTAGAATATATTGGAATTTATAGTTTGGCTAAATTAGTGCTGCAAGCATTTCATTGAGTCTGACAAAGAAGTTCAAGTCTTGCATTCCGGCAAAATCAGACGTACTTTTGAATTCGTTGAGGGTGCTCTCCATGACAAAATTCTTGTGTTTGTTAAAACTATTCACATACAGGAGTGTCAATTATATATTTGGCCCATTTAAACCAAATGATGCAATGAAAAATCATTTAGAATTTCTTTTTCAGGCAACAGCAAGGTGATGAAACACCTATGGTGTGGGAAATGCTCCTCTATATCTACATCCTGTACTCGCCAGATTGGCACTATCAAAGTACAATGCCCACCTTCTTGTTCCTCTATGGTGCGGTATTTGCTATTGCACACTCACAGCTCCGCTTTGATATTGGTTTTAAGGTGCATTACGTTCTGCTTTGTCTTCTTTGCATTCCTCGGGCATACAAATATTACATTCAGACAGAAGATAAATCGGCTAAGTGGCTTGCAAAGTTGTATGTGATCACTCTATTAGTTGGGAGTCTCTGTTGTTTAGTTGACCGTTTCTTCTGCAACCACATCTCGCACTTTTATGTCAATCCTCAGGGTCATGCACTGTGGCATCTCTTGATGGGTTTTAACTCATACTTTGCAAATACATTCTTGATGTATTGCCGAGCTCAACAACGAGGATGGGACCCAAGAGTTAAGCACTTGTTAGGATATTTCCCTTATGTGAAGATTCAAAAACCGAAAGCCCCGTAGAGGTCAATGTTCGACAGCAATTAGCCTCACAAGGAAGCTGGCAAATGTCTTGCGTTGGTTGGTAAATGTGAGTGATCATATTCTTTTTGTTTTGGGTTTTTTGTTTTTCATTCGCAGTTAGTGTAAATGATTACTGGGAATCATTTTGGTAGGTTGAGTAGTAATTAAATTTTGACTGTTCCCTGATGTATCATATTTATTTACATATTTCAATAGGTGATTACATGACAGTAATTGACTAATTGTTGAATTAAACTGTCTTTGATTCTCTTAAAAAAATGTTGACACGGATCAGTTTTGCTGTGATGAAAATAAGAAGACGAGGAGTTCTGTATTTATTTACGAGCACATATTATGTTGTATGTTGTATGCATGATTGGTAGAAATCAATATGCAGTAAAATCTATCTATAGTTATATTTTTGTGATCAAACTAATTTTATTACTGTAAAAAAGTTATAATTTAGTAGAGGTGGAGTTTAAAAAAATTAAAATAAAATAAAAAAAATCATATTTTGACTTAATAATCCGTTTTGCAAGTGTTATTGAGTTGAAGTATACACTACACCAATATAATTAAGGACAAGCCCCCACACGGGGTTTCGCGGGGGCCTGCCAGGCCTC